CCCCCCCCCCGAATTAGGGCCCTTTTAGGGGGGGAAAGAGAGATTTGAATTTTATTTGTGAAATGGGTCTTTTAATTTGGGTCAATTTCACGGTTTGTTGTGTGTTGTGTAAAAAGGTGAAAAAATTTTAAATAAAAAACCTTTTTTTGGGGGGGGGCCAAAAAAAAAATTTGGGTTTTGGGAAAGGGTTGTGGGGAAAAAAAATTCCCCCCCAGGAAAAAAAAATTTAAATATTTAAAAATTTAAAAATTTTAAAATTTTAAAAAAAAAAACAAAACCTTTAAAATTTTAAAAAAAAAAAAAAAAAAAAAAAAAAACCGAAAAATTATAGGGAGGGTTTTTTTTTTTTTATTTTTAAAAATATTTAAAATTGTTTTTTGGGTATCAATTTTTTTTTTTTTTTTTTTTTTTTTTTTTCATTTTTTTTTTTTTTCCTATTTATTTTTTCTCTTTTTTTTTTATTTTTTTTTTGTTTTCCAAGGCTTATGTTAGAGAAAAAAATAATTTAACAAATTATTCATTATTGAAAATAAAAAAACAATTATTTTTTATTTTTTTAAAAATTTTTTTTTAAAATTTTTGATATTATTCCCAATTCTCTGAGACAAATTCAAATAACCCAAATCTTTTGAAAAGAAAAAAAAAAAAACGATTTTTTTTAATATCACTGATAAAACCAATGTTATGTGTTTATGTTGCATATTTGTGTGGGTTCTATTGTAAAAGTAAATATAAAAAACATGATATAATATAATTCTTTTGCCTTTTTGATAAATTTTTTTTTTTTTTTAAAAAAAATATCATTTTTTGTAAATCTCAATTTAAAAAAAAAAAAATATTAAATATATATTTTTTTAAATATGAGATAATTTTTAATTATTAGGACATTCTAAATACAGTGTTTATACTTGTTATGTTTAGGTTATATTTGACACTTAAAAATAGGGAAATATAAACCCAATCAATAATGCGAAAAAATAGTATTATATTGATTTCCGTAAATTTTAACACAGTTTTCTTGTTTATTTAAATTAGTAAAGCGTACAATCAAATTAATTTATTTAAATAATTTAATTGAAATATTCAATAGGAGGGCTTAAAGATAATCTTTATTTAGTAATATTTCACCTATTTTTTTTTTTTTAAATGTTAAGATACAATAAGTTTGTATTTAATTTATATTTAAGTATTTTTTTTAATGATTTACCATGATGTATTTTTAGTGTAATTTTTAATTGTATTAGTTTATTACATTAGATATAAATGTCTTGATTGTATGGTTTTTTTTTTTTTTTTTAAAAGTGAAGATGATTCTTAATGATACATTTAGTCATCAGTTTGTTTATTGTGTTTTTGTTTTTTGTTTACCACTATGCTACCAATGCTCCATAAACATTCCAACATATTTTTAAAAAGCAAAAAAAGCAAAAAAAAAAAAAGCTATCGATTCTCCCCATGTTAATTTTTTTTTTTTAAAAGTGAAGATTCCACCTGTGTAAAAACTTCACTAAAATAATTGTATTGTATTATCAAAATTCTTTTTTTTTTTTTTTTTTTTTTTTTTTTTTTTTTTTAAAAGTGAAGATAATTAAAAGCAAATGCTTTAAATTAATCAGTAAAATTTTATTTAATGTTTTTTTGTAATGTTTTTAAAGAAAATATTCTAAACTGTTGATATTTGGTAAAGATTTGATGCTGATGAAGTATGCTCTTGCTATTCTTCTTTTGAATTTTCTATATTCTTCATTGATGTTGCTAATTGTTTGTGGTTGTTTAGCGTGTCTTTCCTTGATGTTTTTTAAACCTTTTAAGTATTCTAAAGTAGCTAGTTTAGTCCATTTTGAGGTTAGATTCTTATAATCGAGTTCTTTTATTGTATTTTCTTGATCGTCATATAATTCTTTACATAACCAAATCCAAACTTGATGAAATACCAGGGCTATGGCATTTCTATAAGCGAAACATCTAGTTAAGTCGAAATCTATTGCTTTATAGTTCCATTGGAAGTGTGATTTGTGGAATCTGGTGTTGTTGTAATCCATATTTATTTCTCCATCGGATTTGCGACCTTCTGGGATTTTGTATGTAATATTTTTTATTGATATATTCCTTCTTGATCTTGTTATGTCTAGTGACCAATTGAGGCCCCTTCCCGAAGTAATGAATATAAATGATTTTAGTTTATTAAAGTTGATGAATTTCAGAGTTTTTTTACATTTGAAAAATAGATGACCATATGGATCATTATTAAGATTTTCATTACATAGTCTACATGGTTTGTTGTGAATGAAGTTGATGGGTAAGCATCTTGCTTGGAATTTGAATAGAGTGTTTCTTGATTTTGGATCTTTAATATTAAGTATATTATTGAATAGGTTGATATAGCTATAACCTGTAAGTTGAAGACATTGTTGGAATTCTGTTTTGGGTGTAAAGCTGTTGAGATTGTTTATTTCCGAATACCATTCTGCTAAAGAAAGAGGTTTGCCGTCTTTATTTTTAATGGATTTCAACCCGTCTAGTAGTCCTTTTTTAACTTTTATTTGTATCCAATCATTGTAGTTTTTAAATAGGTAATCTGAAGTTATTGTTTTGGTTGATATTTGATGTTTCCAACTGTGTTGATATTCTGATTCTATTTTGTTAGTTTCAATTTTATTGATTATTTGATTTATCATCCATAATCTTTGTGCTTTTTGTCTGTTTTTGATATTCCAAAGATTCCAACCTCCTTGATCCATAGGATAATTTGCTCTTTTAGAGCTCATTAATTTGAAGACTTTAAAACCATTTGGACTTTTATTGTTAGGTGCTGATAGGAACCAATCTGCAATTTTATTGATTTCTTTAATTTCATCATCGTTGAATTCTTCAATATACGAGTAATATGTTATTCTTGATAGTGCAAAGGATTTGAGGATGTTTACTTTTGTTTTAATTGAGTTACTTGTTGTTTTCCATAATGATAACGAGGATCTTATAGAATTCAGTATTTCTGGTAGTTTTCTATGGATTCCGGTACCTGTGAAGTAGTAACCTAAATATCTTTCTGGTTTATTTGATATTGGAATAACTGAATTTGTTGTGTCTGGGTTGTTGATTGTTATTGAAACTGATTTATCTATATTTAGTTTTGATGATGTTGCTGTGCAAAATTGATTGAAGTGTTGAAGTACCAAATTAAGTTGGTCGTTGTTATGAACCATTGATGATGAATCATCTGCAAAACCTTGAAATTTGATTCTTCTGTTTGTGTTGTCTAAAGGAAGTCCAATTATTGATTTATCTTCTAGTATTGATCTAGCTAAAGCTTCTATTACCATTACATAAAGGGTCGGTGATAAAGGATCTCCTTGTTTTACTCCTCGTCCTATTATAAATTTATCAGTATTTTTACCATTTATTTCTATTTTTGCAAAGGAATTGGTGAGTAGTTGCATAATAAGATTAGTTAGTTTGGTTGGTACTTGAATGTGTAATAGTGTTCTGTAAATGGCATCATGAGATATAGAGTCAAAAGCTTTCTCAAAATCATAAAAAGTAATGATTCCTGGTAGTTTGTTCTTGATACAATATTTGATAATTTCGTTTACAGTCATTGTATTATCTGTAATTTTTCTGCCTCCAGTAAAGCCTTTCTGATTGGGGTTAATTATATCAGGAAGAATAGTCTGTAATCTATTGTTGATTACCTTAGATTGTATCTTGTATAGACAATTAGCAAGAGTTATAGGCCTTCTATTTTTGATGAGCATAGGGTCACCTTTTTTTGGGATTGTTATGATTAAACCTTCTTTATATTGTAGATCAATTATGTGTGGGTTGTTTAGGGTGTCATTGAAAGCAGAAGCTAACATTGGTGCTAGTTTTTCTTTATGTGTGATATAAAATTGATTGGTTATTCCATCTGGACCAGGTGATTTGTTTGGATTTAGTTGGTTTATTGCTAAAATTATTTCTTCTTTTGTAAAGTCAGAATCTAAAATGTCCCATTTAGAATCTTTAGATATTTTCCAATTTTTGAGCATGTTTTGGTGGGTAATTGGGTCGTCGATTCGTCTGGAGTATAGATTTTCATAAGTGGATAAAAATTCTTTTTCGATATCGTTTTGACTTGTAAAAATATTACCGTTTTGGTCCTTTATCAAAATTCACTTAATTAATTTTAAAAAATAATCATTTAATCATACAGAAGATAATCACACGGAAGATGTCCAAGATTAAAAAATTTGCGCATGCTGGGAATCGAACCCAGTTCGCATCCGTGGCAGGGATGCATCATACCACTAGACCACATGCGCATTTTATTGAACTATTTTAAAAATCATTTATTTTTGTTTCAGATCTAATGGTGAATGCATCTGAGTTTTTTGCTAATGTTTTGGTTGTTAAGTGTTCTCTTTTTTTAATTTTTTAGATAGTTAACACTCAAAGACTTCAAAAAATAGACTAAAAAACTAATTAACAAAACTTTAAAAACAAAATTTAAATAACTAAAGAAAAAAAAATTTGAATTTATTGTTAACCACGAATTTTGACTTATCTATTCTATTATTTCAATATGAATTTAACTCTTTTTTTTTTGAAAAATTAAGCAACCACCGATATGAATTTCAAATAAAAATAATAAAAAAATTGAATGGTTAGACAAAAATCCATGGTTAACGATTAAAACAAAAATTTGATTCTAATAATAAAAAATAGTAAACTAGATTTTATTTATAAATTATTTGAAAATGATCACCATGCAATTTTAGCAATTGGTGAATTCTTAAAATTTCGAACAAAAAATTTTCTAATTTCGTCCAATAAAAAGATTATAACAGCAAATGGGAATGGTAAGAACCAATATTTAGCGGGAACTGAGCCGGTACCAAATAGTGTTTGGATCCATTCTACTTCGGTAACAATTAAGATTACAGCAATCGAGGCAACAAATGAAAGAAATATGTATGGATTACGTCTTTTCTTACGAATTGGATCGGCTAACAACGACTTTCTTCTGTTTCTAATGGCTAAAAGGTTACCCCATTGAAGGAATACCAATGTAACAAATACAACACTATTACCGATTGGAACATAAACTTTGAAGAAATCATCCGATGATACATGAGCTTTTGTGAAATCTATATTACCAAAACTAAATACCAGATCTGTGAAATGTAAACCAGTGTATTCATAGAGATAGCAAAAGAACATACCAATTGAAATTACAGATTGAAGGACACCCATAAAAAGATAAGACTGAATATATATTTTCATTGTGATAAGATGGTCCTTTTTAGCATTACGTGGTTTGAGTTTTAAAAGATCAGTTTCTTCTTTCTCCATGATTAATGGCAAGCTTAAAAAGAGATCGGTGAAGCAACAGATGATAATCATCAAGAACGATGATAATGGTGATGGAGTACCAAAGAAAGAGTTAACAATGACTGGTGTAATTTCAGAGAATGAACCACATGGAAGAAGATATCCAATTACTTTTTGAAGATTTTGGAAAACCAATCTACCTAAACGAATTGCATCTACAATTGAACTGAATGAACCAAGTAAAACTAGATCTGCAGCTTCAATTGCAACATCACTACCATTTTCAGATACGACAGCAATACCAACATCAGCGGCCTTTAAAGCTGGGCAATCATTAACACCATCACCAGTAACAGCGACAAGATTATCTCTTTTTTGGAACTCTTTAACAATTAAAAGTTTTTGTTCTGGAGTAGTACGAGCAAAAACAACCTCTTGATATTTATTGATTGTATCCCAATTTGAAACATCTAATTTTTGAAGATCTGGACCACTTAAAACCAAACTAGTTACTCTATTTGACTCTTTAGCGATTTCAAAGTAACTATCGTCACGATAGCCTTTTAATAGAATATCGTTTACATTATCTGGTGAGATTGATTTATCTAGAGTAAAGATACCAACTTGATGAGCAATAGAGGCGGCAGTTAAACTAAAATCACCAGTGACCATAAAAAATCTTGCACCACTAACACGGCATTGTGAAACAGTTTCCAAGATATCATCACGTGGTGGATCCATAATACCAAGCAAGCCAATAATAGTAAGACCAGATAGACCCTTGGTTTCAATTTCTTTTTGATATTCATCACTATTGACATCATCGGAATAGGGTGTATAGAATTTACGAGCCAAGAGTATAACACGTTGACCATTTGAAGCTAAAGATTGTTGAATTTCTTTAATAGCTCTAAGATTGGTTTCGTTTATATCCAACTCTGTGTTGGTAGCAGATGAGAGGACTTTTGAACACATTGGCAAAATAACATCTGGAGCACCTTTGATATGTAATATAAGTGAGTCAATTGATTTACCAAAAATGTTCTTTTTTTGTGATTCAATGTTTGCGACATCGTGTATAGTTAACATGTACTTGTTTTTGCTGTTGAATGGTAAATCAAAGATTCTTACATATGGAGTACGAATATCAAATGTAAGAGCATTGACTAATTTTTGGCCAAATTTAAAAATGGAAATATCGGTTGCATCACCATTGACTTGTCTTTCTTGTTTTGGATCTTCTGGTGGTGGAGCTAAAGTTGAATTGTTACAGAGAGATGAAGCTAAAAGGGCCTGTTGATAAGCACAGCTAGATGGCGAGGTATCATCCGCAGCAAGACTTGAGCAACATTGATCTGGAGTTAAAATGGAGTCAACAAAAGCAACGGTGGTAACAGACATTTTATTTTGTGTAAGGGTTCCAGTTTTATCGGATAAAATGAGATTAACAACACCAAGACTTTCAACAACTTTGAGTGATTTTGGTAGAATATTGTTGGATTTCATTCTTTTAGCGATGACTAATAAAGTAAGAGCAACACTAATTGGCATACCTTCTGGAATAAATGCTACAATGCAACTCATTGCATTACTTAGCATACCAGCAACATTCATAAAATCTGGATATGAGGTTCTTAACCATGCAGCCCATTCAATAACCAAAATAGATGCTAAAAAAATAGTTAAAAGAACAATAATTAAAATGAAACGATTAATTTCTTTTTGAATTAAAGGTTCTTTATCACTATTTGAGTTGGTAAGTGTTGAGATTTTACCCATAACAGTATTATTACCATGTTTTAATACAATGCCCATACCCTAAAAATAAATAAAATAAATCATGTTAATATAATTTGATTATGATTAAAATAAATTTAAAAAAATTTAAAACTTACACAGCCATTAATAACATGAGTACCCATAAAGCAAACATTTTTAGACTCTACCATTGAATAATCTGTACATTTGGTACCAATTGAAACGGGTTCACTTTCACCAGTAATAACAGAATTATCAACTTTAAGATCGTTTGATTGTAAAATCATAAGATCAGCTGGAACTTTATTACCAAGTTTTAAATGGACAATATCACCTGGAACTAAATATTTCGATGGAATCATTTTGACAAAACCATCTCTGACAACTAAACACTCGGATGGTAACATACCTAAAATGGAGTTCATAACCTTACTTGTTGACCAATCTTGAAAAATTGAAAAAAAGATTTGAATAAGGATTACAAGTAACTTTAGAGAAAAAAATAAAATTTAATTAATATATATATTGTATATTTTAATTTTAAAATTTTAAAATTTTACTTACAATTAAAATAGCTAAAGCTAAATTGGTTGGATTTGGTGGATTCGAAAGGGGAGGTCTCCAACAAATAAAGAATACAATTACACCACACCAAAGTACACAATTAAAAGAACCAAATACATAAAAGAATAGTTTTTTAAAGTAGTTGGTTTTTGGTGGATCTAAAACATTTGGGCCATGTAGCTTCATTCTTGAGGTAGCTTCTGATGATGATAAACCTTTTTCTGGTGAGTTTTTAAAATATTCACAAACCCTTTCCAATGACAAAGTATGGAGTTTATCAGCATTAATTTCACCATCATCATCACCTGTACCAAAGGTGTTTGAAATTTCCACATCTACATAACCTAAAGATAAACTAGGAGTTGGTTCTGGGGCGCTGGTGGATGAAAAGAGAGTGGAGGTATCGGTGGCGATACCATCCATCTCTATTGTTGAATCTTTGGTTTTACTGGACATTGGAGAAAAATTAAAAGGAATGAGGTGCTTGAAGCTTTGGAAAAATACAAATATTTTGAAGAGATAATTTCTTTAATCATATTATCACCACTGGTGGAAACTAAATTTAAAATAATAAAAATGAAAAAAAAAAAACCATTTTTTTATCTATTTATATGATATTTGGATCATATAAAAAATTTTCTTTACTTTTTCTTTCTTGAAATACGTTTTTTGACTTTTGGTTTCAATATTACCACCAATACTCACTAATATCCACACACAAAAGTACACAGGTCAACAGAAACGTATTAAATTTCGGTAACAACCACATTCTATTTTTGATTTTAAAAAAAAATAATAAAAAAAATAGTATTAAAATTAGAATTCTCTGGGTAAATATTATTGATATAAATGTAAAGTATTGGTTGGATATCGAGTATGGACCTCATGCTCGTTTGAACCAATTTGTGCAATAATGCAAACTTACCCTTTTTATTTGAATTAAAATAAATAAAAATTAAATTAAATATTTTTTTTTTTTAAACAGATTTTTATTAAAAGACCACACCTCTTATTTTGGAATGTTTGCAGTAAAATTTAAATTTGCATATATCATCATAATAAAACTATAAGTTATTATTATTTGTGCGTTTGGTTTAAAATATCGAATTAAAAAAAAAATAATAAAAAAAATAAAAAATTTAATTTTAAAAAAATTAAAATTTTTTTTAATTTTTTTTTTATTATAATTTAATATCATCAAATCTATATTTTTACTTTAAATGTAACTATTTCAAAGATCCAAATAAAAGAAAGTATGAATCATTAATGTATGTGGGTTTTTATGAGTTGTATTTAAAAATAGATTTTTTTTAAAAAATAAAGAAATTATTTTTTTTATTATTTTATTTTTGAAAAAACACGTTTTTATCAAAGCATCATAATAATTTTAATTTTTATATGTAAATAATAATTATCATAACAAAGTAATAAATAATAATATAAATAAAGGTCGCATATATTGGTTTGTATTTGATCAATTATTTTATTTTTCGATTGATTCAAAAAAATGTAAGGCCCATTTTGTTATAAATTTTAAAAAGGTTGCAAAAGGTAACGAGTTTTTAGAAAATCATTATAGTTATTATAAAACATAAATATATTTTATATAAATAATAATTTATGTTAATAATCTTTAATTATTATATTTATAACAAATAAAAATAACAATGACTTTTCATTTTAAAAATGATAAAATTTTAAAACAATATCTTATCAAAAAATTTTAATAAATATATTCAAAAAAAAAAAAAAAAAACTATTTTTCTTTTTAATTAAATATTGTCTTTCTTTTCATTAATAATAATAAAAATAATAATAGAATAAAAAAAAAAAATTAATGATATTGTAGCAATAAACAATATAGCACCAACACACCAAATTACAATTTTAATTACATATAATTTGTTTTTATGTGTTTCAATTTTGGGTGGGGTTGTTGTTGTTTATATTAAATTTATTAAATAATATTCTGGAATAAAATAAAGTTTGTCATTTGGTTGTGTCATTTCAAATATTTCCTTATATGATTTCAATTGAAATAAATAAAAAAATAATAAAAAAAATAAAAAAAAATAAAAAATAAAGATTAAATAATTAAAAAAATAATGAATTAGATATTATAAAAAAAAATAAAAAAAAAAAAAAAAGTTATCTTTTAGACTTATATTCGAAATAATAATAATTATCATGTTGCTATTTTTTATTTGTTTTAAAGAAGATAAAAATAGAAGAAAAAAAAAAAAAAATAAAATAAAAAAAATAAATGAAATAAAATAAAATAAATAAAAAAATAAAAAAGTATAAATAATTGTTAAAATTAAATTTAATCAATTAATAAAACAATCAATTTAAAAAAAAAAAAAAAAAGTATTATAAAATAAATAAAAACTATATTTAAAAATGTTATTCAGTAAGTATAACTTATGTTTAAAAAAAACGAAATTTTATTTATTTATAAAAAACAAATTACTTACGTTGTTGAATTTTAAATTCTATTGTAGATACTCTAGCTTCATTAAAAATAAACAGTTCACAATATAAATTTCTCTTAAAAAGTGGCAGGAATAAAAATGACAATATTGACAATATTAATAATAGTTATAACAACGTTGATTTATCAAACAGTATTGCCAAAGCTCCACCAATAATGTATTTCACAAGACCATATTTAAGTTTTTAAATACAATACCTACCAAATTTACCCGATGGTTAAAAAACCTATACACAAATCTATCAACATTGTACAATAGTAGTTATATCCGATCGCACTATTTATTTATTAAATTTTTTCAACTTTTTAAAAATAAAATAAAATAAAATAAAATATATATGTTTATATAAATAATTAAATATCAAAACCTCTATCTTCTTTTCTTTTAAATATAGCTTTTTATTAATTTTAACAATCATATACAAATTATTTAAATTGTTTTTCCTTTTTCTGTTATTTTTTTTAATTTTTTTTTATTATTTTATTTTTTTAAAATTTAAAATATCTTTATTTTTATAAAACATGAATTAATTAATTAATTTCCTTTATTTCTTTATATCTATAAAATGATGAAACAATATATAAAATTAAAAAATTATATTGCAACATTAACAATTTACAAAATACTAATCTCTTTTGTTTGTTTTGGAATTGTTGGGGGGTAATTTTTAAAATGGTGATATAAAT